ACATTGGCCCTACTGGGGCTTGATAAACTCTGAAGCATAAACTACCCTGGAGTTTGAGTAGAGGTACAATGTCGTACACGGCTCTCTAGGGCTCTCATCCTTCATGAGGGAAACGTACACCTGTGGATTCCTAACCCCCATTTTCCCCCTAGCCACTAGTAACTACCACCATTTTGCTCTGTCGTCTGTGAATTTGACTGTTTCAGGCTCCTAATATCACAGAGTATCTGCTTTTCTGTGCCTGACGCATTTCAAAGAGGAGAATATCCCCAAAGTTCATCCAGGTTGCCACATTACAGGATTTCAAAGCGTTTATCCATTTATTGTGTGTGGGTACGCTCATCATGGCATGTGAGTGGAGGTCAAGGGGCAACTCTGTGCTCTCTTTTTACCATGGAATTTCCAGATATTGAACTCAAGTCATCAGGCGAGGTAGCACTCACATTTACCTGCTAAGCCATCTCAGCATCCCGTCAGGCCGGGTAGCACACACATTAACCTGTTAAGTCATCTCATCATGCCATAAGGCTGGGTGGCACTCACATTTACCTGCTAAGCCATCTCAGCATCCCATCCTTTTTAAAGGCAGTCCACTGCATGTATATACCACGTTTTCTTTAGTGTTTTGTTTTGTATATCTTGTTGTTTTAAGATGACATGGCACGGACAGTCTTACTGTGTAGCACTGGCTGGTCTTAGTTTCTCGGGATCCACCCATCCTTCTGTCTTAGGTCCCCAAGGAGCTGACATTACTGGCATGTGCCCGAGTACTTGCCACATACCATGTTTTCTTCATCCATTCATCTGTCCATGGTCATTCAGAGTGTTTCTATATCTTGGCTACTGTGAATGTTGCAGCAGCAAACACAGAAGTACTGTGAACCTTTCGATAACCTGATTTCAAATATTAGTTCTGAAATTAATATTCAGAGGTGGAATTCCTTGGTGGTATGGTGCTTTTAATGTTTTGGAGGGATCGCCACATTGCCTTCCACCATGGTGGTAACAGTGTGATGCCTACTGATAGTGTCGAGCCTCCCGTCGCCCACACTGTCATCACAAGTGTCTCTTGAAATCTTAGTCCTTAAATGACAATAGCTATCCTGGAAGGGTAAAGTGATAACTCAGTGTGGTTTAGAATTGCATTTCTCAGGAAACAATATAAATAGGGGTTCAAAACCTATGGCCTTTCTGTGTCTATTGGGGAGATGTTTCAAGTCCCTAGCCCATTTTTAAATCATTCTCCTGTTGGTACTGCTCTCGAGTTGTGGAACTCTTCCCACACTTTGCGGATGACCCCTTACCAGATATGCGATTAGCAAATATTTTCTCTTAACTGTATCTACCTCATCAGCCTGAGACTTCTCCGACACAGAGAGCTTAACAATTGGGTGCCCTCCCTAATTGCTCTCACGGTGTCAGCCTGGCCTAATATAAAATGATTCCCATCTCTGTCCTCTGAGGCAGGGCCTGCTGCCGCCAAAGCCTTCTGAGAACAGTTATGGATGGCCTCCTTCTCTTCTGAGAGGCCTTTCAGGACAGCGCTCCCTGTCAAAGTGCTGTTCTTTTGACTTTGCCCTCAACCTCTGGCCACTCTGCCTCCCTCTCCTTGCCGAGGACGGAAATGTAGTCCATCGGCAATTCTCTTCCAGTTGTATTCCCAGCACAGTCTTTCTCTTGGCCTCAGTGACAGCATGCGTGCCCAGGAGTTCCAGATCTGTCTAACACTGCTCCCCACGTCTTGTTCCTATACTTTTAGCTTAAGCTCCTAACTTTTTTTGAAGCCCTCTAGGGATGTCCTAGGAGTGAGCATCTCTAGCTCAGCATCACCATCACAGCTGGACTACCCTTACCTCTCATGCAGTCAGATTTGACGCTTTCCCTTCCCTCATGGTGTACATTGCCATGAAGGTTAGATAGTCCCCACTCTAAAACGCCTTTTGCATACAGCATCCCTGTTTGCTACATCACCACTGCCGCCACCGCCACCACCATCACAACTACCTACTATAAACCACCACCACCACAACCACTACCACAACCATCGCCCCCATCGCCCCCAACACCACCTACTACAACAACAACTGCCACTACAACCTAATATGGGATTCCCCTTTATACGCTGTGAGTAGGATTGGTTGATTAATAATGAAAACTGGCTTGGCCTGATAGGATAAAAGTATAGAGCTAGGCAGGGAAAACTAAAGTGAATGCTGGGGAAAAGAAGGGCAGAGTAAAGGAGAAGAAACGTAGCCTCACCTGAGACAGACACCAGAACTTTAGCCGGTAAGCCACAGCCTCGTGGCAATACACAGATTAATAGAAATGGGTTAATTAATATGTAAGATTTAGCCAATAAGAAGCTAGGCTAAGGGGCTAAACAGTGATTTAAATAATATAATTTCTGTGGGATTATTTTGGTTCTGGGCAGTTGGGAGCCAACAAGAGGCCCTCCTCCCAATAACAACCACTACTACAACCATCGCCACCACAACTACCACCGCTGCCGGTGCCATAACCATGTACTACAACAACCACCACCACAACCACCACCACCATCATTTAGGCCCCCAAAGACCTTCATCAGAACCAGCAAATGGCAAGAGAAGGAGAGCCTGGGGTCAGACTACCTGGAATTCTTTTTACTTACTGCCTGGCTCTATGCCCTGACTATTAGCTACATAATTCTTTAAGACTCAGGTCCCTCCCTGTGAGATAAATGGTACTAGCATCATAACTACTGTAAAAAAAATTAAGTGATATTAATAAAATGTCAAACACATGGCACATAACAGTCATTCAAAAATACAAAGACTGTGCCATCTCCTTCCTGCCTGCCTTTAACTCATCTTCCAAACCCAACATGCACTCAGCACTCACACAGTAACTCCACACTGGAAAACTCAGCTAACTTCTCAAATAAGAAACTCTATTTATGTCAGTCTTTGGTTAAAAATAAAATTTACAAAGCTTTGCCTATTTATTGCTTGTATTGCAAAAACAGTGTCTTTAGTACAACGTTATTGAACTTTTAGAAATCTAGCCCCAGCTACCTGTTCAGGTTACAACTAACACTCACTGTAACTACCTACACACCTAAGACACCTTGTTTCCAAGCCTTGGGTGCTGCAAGGGCAGCCACCCCAGTTCAAGGTCTTTCCCTTTTCATCTCTAGATGACGACATCATACATGCATCAGCTCAGCTTCTATGTTCATCAATGAGTACCTATTCCTTAAATCTCCTTTTTAAGTCAGTACACTGCATTAATTCATTCATTCACCAAATATCCACCAAGACACTGCGGCTAGACATTAGGGAGACAAAGACGAAGAGTAACAAGCATACAGTTGGGCTGGGGAGATGGACATACACAGTGTAGCAGGAGAATTTCCATAAAGGATACTAGGTATATGCACCCAGGAGTGGTTCTAGTTCTCAGTTAGGTCAGGCTTCCTAAGGCTGATGTTTTTCAAAATGCTGATGCCTGAGCTGACTGTAAGGGATTCTCACATAATTAGACAATGAAAGTTTTGTTTCGTTTTCTACTTTCTATTTGTTACTTTATGTGCATGGGTATTTTGCTCACATGTGCCTATGCACCACTTGGGTACCTGGTACCCCAGAGGTGGTAGAGAGTATCAGATCCCATGGAACTAGAATTATGGACGATGCCATTCGGGTGCTGGATCTCAAACCCCTGCCCTCTGAAAAGACAGCCAGTGTTCTCAACCACTGAGCTATCTCTCCTACCCCAGTGATACATTTTAAAAAGCTCCTTAGCATGTTAAGTGGAGCAAGGGTTCCTTCCACGTCTCTGGAACAAAGTTGTACATGGTTATCTATGGTACATGGGACACAAACATGCCCATGCAAAGGAAGATACTATAGCTTTCTGGACACTGGGGTACAGGATAACTGATAATCTTTATCAGTAACTAATAGCCACCGTGAACCACACACCTATCGTAGCCTGCACCTAGTTGCACACGAGCCCTGCCAACCCATGGCTGCCGTGAGCACGAGACTGAAGGTGCATTGCTGTGCTGCAACAGGTGCCTGACATAGAGACGATGCCAAGACGTGCAAGACTATTCTGAGAACTATCTGTGACCTGATCAGACTCCTGCACTCGAGAACTGGCCTGGCAGCAGCACGGAGAATGGCTTGGTGTGGCACAAAGTAGAGGTGACAGGACATACCAAACGACCACAGCAATCGAGCTGAGGAAAAAAAATCCAAATATGATCTAAGCATCACCACACAGGGAATTCACAGGACTCTGAAGACAGGGTTAAGAGCAAGGACCACTTGAATGGTTCTAGGCCAGGTAAACAAATGAATGACAGCACCATTCACCAAGAGAGAGATTACGAGAGGAAGAGAAGGACTGCCAGAACTGTGAGACATCCAACAATAGATGTTGGAAATCAACTTAGTGTGACCACTCTAGGTGGGCAGCCAAGTGTTCTGATTGAAGGGGCCATTTTGATATAGTGCGTATGGCACAGCGAGAGCTTCCGAGACAGGTAGAGTTTGGGCCGTGTGAACACTTTTTGCTGCTTCATCAGAACTGAAAGGACAGAAAAGGGTTAAGAACAGAGGTAGTTCGAATGCTGCATAACACTTAGGTTACGTGCAATAGCCTGTAAGTCTTACAGCACACTGGCAGCGCACAGTATTCCCTAGCAACGTCACTACTTAACCTCACTACCACTTAGTAGTGTATCCACAGTATGTATCCAGGGTACAGGTTCTTCTCCTCCCTCCCTCCCTGCCTGCCCTCCTCCCCCCACCCTACCCCTGCCTCATTTTGTTCTGTATGTTCTTCATATGCCTCCCATCCAGCAGAGAAGGAAGTGGCTTAACACTAGAAAAAAATGGAGATTATAGGCTACACAAAACTCGAGATTATCTCGCAAGTGGGCACAAACTACGATTCACCCATGTAAGAAATCACACAAGCAATCACACAATACTCACATACAAATAGTGACGTACCTTTGATGTTGATTAAAATAGCAAGTGAATGGCTGGGAGCCGATCTCATCTTTCCAATACTGTTGCCAGTTCATGACACTTTCCAAGTTCTTCTGGTTTTCTCTCTTACAGGGCGGAATATAGGAGCACTAACAGGACAGAACACAGAAAGCCAACCTATTAGTCCACCGAAGAGTCAATAGGGTCCTTCTGGTTCTTAAATACTTCATTTTATTATAGTCCGTGGCTTGGGACTGATGAGAAGGTGCAGGTTCAGGGGCCGCCATTGCCTGGGTCAGCATCGAAATACCCATCCCAGTGGCTGTGAAGGTGTCACTACCATGCATTGTGATTTTCCCCATCAATCTTGAGCCACCATTTTGATCTCAAGACAGGAAAAGATTCTGAACATTACTGAAGACACCATGCTCGTGCCCAAATGATTACAAAGTCATCTGAAATTGGCTGAAGGCTAGGACCATCCCAGGGACCCGCAGTCATTATTTTTCTACAGAAATGGCAATGTTAGAGGCAACAAATCTAATTTGGACACAGTCTTTCAATACAACCAAAGTGACACTGCTTGACTACATTTCAAGTTTCTAATTTGGACAATGGTAAAAAAAAAAATCAATAGCAAAATTACCTTCAGTCACTAAAAAACAAAAATAAGGAAAATTTCTAATGGTATAGCAAATTAAAAGTGCAATATACTTTCTCTGTCTTTGCAAAGATCTGCCAACACAAGGAGGCGAGGGGAGGGGTATTAATTACTAATACTAATTAATTAGCATTCCCAGTCCCTATCTGTGAGTCTTTGCACTTTCTTCCTCTACTTTTACTAACCAATAGCTCACTGCCACTCCTGAGGTGCCACTTTGCCCACTTAAGTTTCATTTCCCACATTCTCCTGGACGATGGAAGCAGCGGAGACTCCTCTCAAGTGTGCCATCAATGTCCTTTGCTACCGATGGCTTTCCTAGCCGTTCCCAAGAAGAGACTCGAGGAGGCGGTATAGATTCAGCAACACTGAGAAGCTGCTCTCGGCGGCGGATGTTAAAGAGGACCCTGAGCATCCTAAGACACTTCTTCCACTTCAAACGCTTTTGATAGTGAAGATGGCGGCTTCTACCCAGTGTTAATAACAGGCAAAGATCCAATGGGCCAGAACCTGCGTGCTTCTTATGATCTCCATTTTACAGATGAGAACATTAAGATTCCTCTCAGCCCTGCGACTAGACTCAGCGAGACCATTATTCTCTTCTGAGGTGTTCACCAAGGTGTCTGATAATAAGGAACCAAAGACAAGAACTTGAGCTTTATTCATTCATTCTCTTATTCGTTTATTGTTATGGGTTTTGTTTATAGGTGTGTTTGTGTGTGCAGCCGCATGCATGGACATGTGTGTGGAAGTGTCCTTCATTGGGTACCACCCACTTTGTATTTGAGTGAGTTTCTCTCTGGTTTGCAATTTGGCCACGAGCCTAGGGCAGCTGGCCAGAAAACCCAGATCCAGCTCTCTCGACCTCCGATCTCACTACCACTGGAATTGTAACAGTGTACCACCAGGTCCAGATTTTAACATAGGCTCTGGACATCCAAACTTCTGTCCTCACGCCTGCGGGGCAGGTTCTTTACTGACCGAACCATCTCCCCTGACTCCCCCACCCTTTGTCTTTACGAGACAGGATCTTGCTATGTAGCTCTGATCAGCAGGGAACTCACTCGAGGGCTAGGATGACAGGTATGTGCCACCAAACCTGGCTCGACTGTTTCATTTGCAGCATGTAAATTCACAAGAAAAAGACTTTCTCCCCATCGCTTTCTGTTAAAATGCAAAGCCGTGATGATGATGTGCGCAGCTCTTCAGTCTCCTCCTGCCTGCCCAGCCTCGCGGAATCCTGGGAGACGGCCAAATCGAAGCGCTTGGTCCTCAGATCTGCCACATGCTGTCACGGTATCTATGCAGCACAGACTGCTACCTCCTGCTAGCGCTCCCTGTCCTTAGTCGCCTCCTTTTGAGAGTCAGCTCTAGTGTGACCCATCTGTAGGAATCTTCTTGTTCTTGTTCCAAACCAAATGTGTTGACCCAGGAATCAAACCAACGGACTCACAGCTAATATCACACTGCAGCAGCACACTTGTCTGCCAGTGTCAGGGCTCTATCTCTGGCTGCTGAGTTGAGAGCAAAAGCTGGTTTTTTTTTCTTTTTTTCTTCTCCTGTATGTTCACCCTGGCCTTGGCAATGATTTCAAAACAAGTCTAGGACATACGAAGACACGTTTCGCTCAAGATAATGAAGTTTATCTTGAGTAAACTTTCCTGAGGAAGCTGCTCTCCTAAGTTAGACATTTTAAACTATAAATGCACATGTATTTCGAATTGTAGTAAATTCCATTATTCCCCATCCTACATAACAAATTTGTGTTACGTAAATAGGTGTTTAACCCACTGAAATGCTAAATACAAACCCCGTGGACACACAGCTTCCCTCTATTTCCAAGGGAACAGCACAGTTTTGTGGAACAGTCTGGATTATGAGTTTTTCTGAAGCTTCAGTTGAGCTTCAAAGCCACAGGAACAGTATGTGGCTTCCGTCTTATGATTTGTTTGGTGTTTGGTCTTGGGTAAATTACCTTTCTCTGGGCTCCTGTTTTTTTGGTTTTTTTTTTCTTTTCTCTAGTCTGTACAACCTCCAAAATAATTTTTAGCTCTGCTTCTGCCTCTCCTCTTGGAGGCACATCAAGAAACAACCCAGCCAGAAGCAGACTACAAATACTGTCACAGCCTTTTCCCCCAGAAGTAATCCTGCCTCTAGGGAGATGGCAGGGAGACTTGGCTGAGCCACTATTGCTGCTGCGAGCAAAGAGGGCCAGAGCGGTGGGTGGGTCCAGCTCTGGGAACGGTACTTTCTTTACGTTAGCAAGACCATGAGCTACCCACCGATTACTCCACACAGTGTGTTGGGTATTTCCTCTCCTTCCATTAACACATCTTCTTTCTACCCGTGGCCAAAGTGAGACAAGGTGCCAGTTTATTGTGCTCTTTCAAGGAAGGAGAAAGTTCTGGTCCTACAGGCAGAATCTGTGTGGTGCAAATATCTAAGAAGTCATCCGGACCCTTTCAGGATTGGGCACAGGGCCACACTAAACATGTCAGGGGACAACCAAATGCAGTCAGAACATACTGAAGCTATTCATAACTTAACTCAGCTCAGATTCTTTACTATTCAGTTTTTGAAGCAAAACAGGTTTAAAAGATATAGCTCTCTACCAGATGGCAACTCCGGGATATGATCAGGGGAATCACACCCGTGTTTCTGGAAACATCAGAGGAAAACGTTCATCAAGGTCCCTAATAGGCAAGCTGTGATTTCACATGACGTGAGAGAAGTGCCTGGCCATGGGGAGCTTTCGGCGGATTCTGAAAGCAAACCATATTTCTGTTTCAAGAAAAATCAGCATGAGGTTCTTTCCCCATGGACTCCATTCTTTCCACTGGTTAAATAATGAGTCTTTAGCATTGTAGCAACTTGGTCAAGTCAATATCGTTATGAAAGGAAGGAAAACGTTTAAAAGACTAAACCTGGGTTCTTAATAATCATTATTTTTTCATTTTCTCAAATCTTGACTGCCCAGGTTATTTACCTCTAAACGTCTTGGGAATTATCTTGGATCCTTCCTAGAGCCCTTTTCAGTTCTATGTACAAGATCATTATAGATGGATAGAATTTTAAAGTCCACTAAAAGCGAAGTCTTAAAGCATTGTTTTCAAAGAGGATTCTAGAAAAGCTGTCATACAAAATCCATTCTCTCTCAATCATGCTGACTGGATGGTTTTTCCAAAACTTCAGAGCTCTGACCTAACTATTTCTTTGGGGAGGAACCATAAATGCACAAACCCACTGTTTAGCATTCCCATCCTCGCGGAAAACGCCACTGGCAAATGTCAGCATTAGAATCTCATCTCCAGTATACAGAAGGGAAACTTAAGGGTAGTGAGATGGCTCAGCAGATAAAAGGGGCCTGCTGTGAAGCTTGATGACCCCAGTTCGATTCCCCAAAACCCACACAAAGGTGGGACAAAAGAACCAACTCCAACTCTGACCACTAGCAGGCCATAGTATACGCACGCCTGTGCCTGCTCCCACCCCACCCAACATAAACAGTGTTTGACAAATTAAAAAGAACAGGAATGTTAGATTGAGAGATCTAAGATAGCTTGTTCAAGGCTACAGAGGTAAATGGGGCATTTTGTGTACAAAGCTCAGTTATTCTTGTTGTTTTTGTTCCATTTTGGCGTTGTTGTTTATTTTGATTTTGAGACCAGGTCTCACTCTGAATCGGAACACCTACTGGCAGTGAGTAGCCTCGAACTTACCATGGGTTGAAGATATCCTTGACCTTCTTGTCCTCCTGCCCCTGCCTCCCAAATGCTGGAATGGCAGGAGTATGTCATCACACCTGGCATGGCATATAGAGTATGAATCCTGCTGCACACATCCTCCTTTCTCTACCTGTCTAGATTCACAGACTTCCTTCTTTGCAGCTTCTGAATTTGGCCTAAGGAGATGCCCCATTCATGCACCGTGTCTTAGAAATCCAACATTGCCTCTCTGGAATTAGTGTACTCCTCGCCAGGACTGGTGATGAGGCAGTCTGCCGCAAAGGTTTGTCACCCTGGTCAGAGGAAAGGCAATTCTAAGTCTTCCTCCCAGCTCGTTTGGCTCAGTATCAGTTTCTAGTGGCAGTTACAATTGCCTGTAGGTGAACCGTTAGATACAATGCCTTTGGTCATGACACACAGTAAGGATTCCCTTAGAGACAATTCCCCCCTGTGATCCTGAGCTATTTGGTTTCCGATTTTGCAAAGGCAGCATTTCCCGTCTTCTGATGTCATTACCACCCAAGGAACCCACCCACATTCGGATCCTCATTCCTGGCACCTGAAATGGGAGGAGATCCCTTTCTTTAGAAAGGTAGAAAAGAGGGGAAGAGAGGGAGGCATCAGATGTTCCCAAAAGAGGTGATGATGGCACATCTATAATGTGTGAAGAAAAAAAAAACAAAACGGTGACACCAGGGAAAGAGGCCAAGATGAACTGAACACAGCTCATCCCAGTACGTGGTGACCGGGTGGAGGTGCAAGC